GACGGGGGAGCACTCGGCCGTAGAAGGAGCGCCATCGGACGCAGGCCGCTGTGGGACGGGACGGACCCTGAAAACGGGAGGCCGCGTGAGATAAGCCGGGCACACGCATGATCACGTGTGATCCCCCGACAAGTGGCCAGTGAGCAGAAGGGGCGGGCGGGCTCCGAGAGAGCGGGCAGGACGGTGGCCACCAGCAGCCGGGGCAGTTGCTGCCGGATGGGCACAGGGGTGGCAGAGGCGTCTTTAAAGTGGGGAGTGGTGACAATCGCCGCAGATGTCACGCATGCCACGGAACGGCATGCTTCACGTGGTTTTACCGTGACGTCTGTTGTCACCGTCCTGAAAACGCTCTCAAAGACCCCTGCAGGGCCGGCGCGACCGTTCCAAAGACGACCGTCTTCCAGAGAAAAGGGCACCCCACACGGGGCTGCCAGGACCCGCGTGGGGCGTCTGTGCAGCTGCCACTCAAAGCTAAGCCGCTTACAGGCGGCGGGCTGAGCTCAGGACGACGGGGGAGTAAATCCTCTCGGCTGGGGGGAAGGGACGGGTCAAGGAAAGTCACAGGGGATCCCTTCCTCCGGACACCAGGACCCTCGCAAAGCACCCGCCGCCTCTCCACCCAAGCCACCCCGACCGACACCTCGGGTCCGTCGCCGGAGCGCCCGACGGCACCGGGACGTGGAGGAGGAGGGGGGGACGGCAGCCCCCTCGGGTCTCTGTTCAGCCTGCCCGCTGCCCCAAGGGTCCAGTTAAGAGGCCCCTGAGCACCAGACTCCGAGTCAGGCACCGCACGGTCAGGGGAGGTGCGGTGACTCCGCACGAGGGCACCCACGCCCGCTCCCGGCGCGCACCCGGGGCTGCAAGGACACCCGAGGGACAGGCGGGTGGCACTCGGACACGCTGGGAGGACGGGCCGGCGCCTTCCGGCCCGGCGTTCTCACTGCTCTGGGAGTCCCCTCGGCTCTGCAGCCCCCTCCCTCCCTCCCGCCCACCACCCTCGGGCCGCCGGGGGTCCTTCCACCACCTCCGCAGCCCTGACTCTTCCGGAAGGTCAGGGAGCGGGCGTCCCGCCGTGCGCAGCCCTCTCGGACCGGCTCCTCGCACTCAGTCACGCGCACCTAACGTTCCCCCGCGTCTCTTCAGGGGGTCACTGCTCCTCTCTTCTGAGGGCCGAAGAACGTTCCGTGGTCCCAACAGGCCGCAGTTCCCTCGTCCGTCACCTACCGAGGGGCGTCCTGGTGGCTCCCAAGGTTCAGGAGGTTTTTATGGAGAAAGCTGCGGTGCACGCCGTGTGGGGCCTCTGTGAGAAAGCGTGTGTTCAGCTGCTCTGGGCAGCGAGCACTGGGAGGGGGGACTCCCGGGTCGCACGGGGAGGCTGCGTCAGTTCTGCGAGCAGCTGCCCCGCCGTCCCCCATGGGGGCCGCGTCCCTGCAGTGACGGGCGGGGGTCCCCGTGGCCGCGCGTCCTCGCCGGCGCTGGTGCTGCCGCTTCGTCTTTCTGCGTCTGCAGCACGCGGTCCGTGTCCCTCGCATTTGCACACTCACTGGCCTGCGGCCACCATAGTCCCCTCGCTTCGGTCCCCCCCGAGGGTTCTGCTGGTGGAGGGCCGCGTCCCCCCCCCCCACCCCCGGGGGCCGGGCTGGAGGCCTGCCGTCGTCGTCGGGGGAGGTGGCGCACAAGACCGGCTTTCGGACTTGCTCCTGTCCGCGGAGACCGTCTTCTCGCCTTCACGAATACCCGGTCCTCGTGTACATCCTTCCTCCCCCCCTCACCCGCTCCTTCGAGTGACTCGATTTTTATGCCTCCAGTCTCCACTTGTCTTTCTTTGGAGGCTCAGAGACGGAGTCTGGAATGCCTCTCCCAGGAGGCCTTTCGCAGCCCCCCACCCGCAGCCCGCCCCTACCCCGTCCACGCTGAGCGGTGGGCATTTGCGTCGCGGTTGCCTCCAGAGCCCACGGGGGAAGCGGGGGAGGGGGTGTGTGTGCGCTACAGTGTGTGTGTGTCGCCTCCTTTGCACTCCTTCTTGACTTCTGATTCCGCCGCACTGGGCGAAAGGCCGCGGCTTGCGTGGAACAGATTGCCTAAAACGCCGCCCGGCTCTCGCTGCACGGCCCCCTTCCCCCCGAGTTCCCCAGACCCCAGAGAAGAACCGGGGGTCTGTGCGCCGTCTGCAGGCTCCGTGCGCGTCGCTGGCGCCTGAAGCCGGTCCGCGCTGCTCTGGATACCCTCGGAATGGCCTCTTTATTTTCTACTTTCTGCCTGACAGCCTTTTTCCTCCCCCCCCCACATTTTTTGGTCCTTCTCTGCTCGACGTTGGTTGTTTTTATTAAATATAAATGCCCTTCTGTGTTTTTTTTTCCCCCTGCTAGGTTTGAAACGATACATGTTAGACATACTCTTTTGGTAACCACGGTCAATATTTCAGTTACACATTATATTTTAAAGTACATAACTCAGCATACTTTCCCCAGCCGAGTCTCAAGTTACCCCACACTCCCCTTCCCGCTGGGGCCCTGCTGCGCCTTAACGACTCGCTGGACAGAGCCCCTCTCCAAAGACACACACACACAGACTCCCAGCACCTAATTACCCCAAGTTCCAGTGTGACCCCGTTGCAATGATGCGTGTGGCACTGGACCTCGGCACCACACCCCTGCCCTGGACACCATTGTGTCCGGCCCCGGACACAACTTCTAATAATCCTGCCGTCAGCCTTGCCAGCAACAGATTTTCTCAGTCTCGGTCCAGAAAGGAAAAAAGAAAAAAAAAGAAGAGAAAGAAAAACCCTTTATGGCTTTCCCTAGCTGTTGGGATACAATTTTCCATAGAGCTCTTTTCCTCCCTGCACTTTGGAAACCCTGCACCCCCCCTCCCCCCCGCCCCCGCCCGAGTCCACTCTCGGTCCAAAGGCTGAGCCCGCGTTGGAAAATCTGGTTTTTCCCTCCGGGTTGCCTCTGCGCCTCCCGCTTTCTGGCACAACGCAACGTGCCTTCAGATGGGAGCCGGCCTTCCTTTCTCCTTTTAACCCTTTGAGTGCAGAGTGGGGGTGGGGCCCCTTGCACGCCTGCCGGCTCCCCGCCGGAGCGTCTCTTCAGACGCCCCCCGCCCCCTCCCCCGCCCCCGCCGCCGCGCCCCGGGGCCTCCCCCGCCGGATGCCATCCCGTCGGCGTCTGGGCCCGGGGGCCGCTCTGTGGCGCAGGGAGGAGGCTCCGGCTCATTAATCTTCTTTAGACCGAATTTTTAAAATGCCCGTAACTAGATATTTCATTCCTGAGACGTCTGAGGAGCTCTTTCTCACGCCCGCCCTGTTCCGTCCTCGCCTCTTTCCCCTGCACGTCTCGCCTCCCGTCCTCCCGTCCAGGCGTGAGCCCGTCGTGCCCCCGGGCCTTCCCTGCGAGTGCGTGTCGGCTGGGCCCCAGGACCCTGCTGGCTGTCCGTCTCGGCAGCGGGCAGCAGCTCCGCGTGCCGGGGTGCGGGTCTGCGGCCGGCTCCAGGGTGCTGGGCTGTTTGCGGGGGGCAGGGGGGGGGTAGGGCCCGGGGGGCCGAGGCTGGTGGGCCGGCCCGGCTCACACACGCCGTTCCCAGGGTCCCTCAGGAGCAGGGGCGCTGCACCCCAGCCCCCACCTGCATGTAACGACCCGGGCCCTCACCGTCCCCCAGGGCCTTGACGCCCAGCGTCGGGGTCGCTCGCGGACCTGCTCCGGGCACACGTTGGCCCGCGTCGGAGCCAGGCCGCCCTCGGCTCTCCCGCCAGATGCACCGTGCGCAGACAGGAGCGCGGACTCGCGGGGAGGAGGCCAGTGTCGCGGCGTGTCGCACGGGACGCACCCCCACAGAAGCCGGGTTCCGCCTGGAGACGGGTTCCCTCCACAGGCTCTGTCTCCCTGCCCATTCCGGGGTGCCAGGGCATGCCAGACGCCTGGCATCTACCACCCACTGGGGGCCCCTCCCCAGGGAACAGCAGCCCTGCTCCCCCCCCCCCCCCGCACCACACACGCCCCAAATGGCGTGACCCGCGGGGCAAGCAGCGCCCCGGCGGCACCTGAACGCCCCGCTCAGAGGCGCGGGAGGGACGGCGGCTGCACGAAGCCCTTCCGGTGCAAGCACTGACACGGGTCTCACACGGATGTTAACACCAGCACTTAGATGGTTTTCCTTCCACGAGGCCGTCTGTAAGCAGCCAACACGTCACGGATTCTGAGGTGTCAGAGCCGACGCTGACACGCAGGCCGGCTCCCCTCGCACCATCCCCGCCGGGAGTCTGCCCGAGGGCGCCCCCAACCCCGTGCTCGCCCCGGGCGCCCTCCCGGCACCCGGGACCCCTCTCCGCCTCAGGCTCAGCTCTCGGCTTCTGTTTTCCCCGAAGGTCACCCTCTCTCTCATCAAGCGACCTTTAAAAAACCGAGTGATCCCCGTCCCCGTGAGTCCCAACCCTCCCGCCTCTGGTCCTGAAACTCTCCACTGACCCCCCGGCCTCGCTCACGGGTCCCGCTCCATCCCGTGACCCATCCGACCAGCTTCCCGGCCCCCCACCCACGGCTGACACCTCACTTCCCAACCCCGGACCCACTCAGGCCCCTTCCCTTCCTGCCCACGGGGACGCCCCAGGAAGTCACAGGGAGAAGGAGCAGGGCCACAGAAAAGCAGCGAGTCACCAAGGGCCCCGTGCAAACGGGGGCCGGGGGCAGACGCGCCGGGCCAGGGTCACGAGGAGGTCACCCAGAGGAGGGCCCCCCCGCCCCCCCAGCCCAGGGAAGTGTATTCCTGTGAAGCCCCGGGACCCCTCCCAGGAAACGGACTCTGAAGTTCGCTCACTGAGGACAGTGCATTGGAAGGTCGCCCAGGAAGACGCAGCGACCGAGTGTGTGTCCGTTCTCCGGAGGGGTCTGGTGTCTTCCGGGGGAGAAAGGTGAGAACCTCCTCGCGCGAGCAAGAAGAACAGCAGCGGGCAACACCGAGTCCCAGCAGCGCCACCCTGGTGCGGGTGCGTGCGCCCTTACCTGGGGGATGCGCGGGTTGGCGAGGCCGGACCGCGGAGCTGGGTGCCGCGGGCTCTCCTGGGCCACGAGGGGACGGCGGCTCCGCCGGGTCCTGGGGGGGAGACGGGGGCAGAGGGTTCTGGTCAGAAGGCGCACGGCACCGGCCACGTCCACCCCGACCACCCCGCACGTCCTTCCCTCCCGGCCCCTCGCTGCCTCGTCGCCGCTCTGCCCGCGGAACCCCCCAGTGACCAGTGACGGGGGCTTCAAAGGGGCCGCATAGGGGGACGTTGGTCCTGAGAAGTGCAGGCCGCGTGGCGAGGGGGTTCGAGGAAGTCGCTCCCCCGTGTTTTCTGCACTGAAATCGCTTTTTCTCCGAGTAGCAATTCGAGAAGAGTCGTCGTCTGCTGCTGGATCTGAGCAAGCACTGTGCACACCCAGCGTCGCGGAGCAGGCGCACCTTCCGAGACAATGGCCGGGTCGCAGCCGCACGCAGGGGGTCTGGGACCCGCCGTGCAGGCCGTTCTCTCACGGTCCCCCCTTCCCGCCCTCCCCCCCGGCCCCGCCCCCGTGAAAGCACAGGGCGCTCGTCGGCATTGGTTCGGCCTCATCAGGGTGAGCACAAACATTTCAGGCAAAAGCTATCACAGCAACAGGATGACCCAGCCCACCGCTCAGGGAGAACGTGGGATTATGATCAAGCAGGCGACATACACACGGACACGTATGAAAACAACACGGGCCTTTTGACAGTGGTAAGACGGTGGTAACACATCAGCCGTCATTGCCGAGGGCTGGGGAGAGACTGGTTTTGTCTTACAGATTTAAGAAACCCGTGGCGTTTTTATAACGCGCACTGACGCCTCGTAGTCGGGGTTTAGGCCTGTGCTGAAAGCGTAAGGTGTGCACAGACAATCTCCCGTGAATGCCAACACGACACAAAGGGCCACCTGCACAGCCGCCAGCCCCCAGGAGGCCTGCATGGGGGCCGTGCGCGCTCAGAGGCCGGGAGGAACCACCCGGGACGGGCTGGTCATGAAGACCCCTGCCCGACAGCGGGAGGTGGCCGGCAGTCACGTCCGAGGCTGCGGCTCCCCGGACAAAGGTCCGTCTCCGCCGCCGGCGAGGCCATCTGGAGTCTGTACGCCTCGGAGACAACGTGCTTTTAACAGGCAGCCTCCTGCTGCGCCTCCCGCTCCTCCTGCAGCCCCCTTGGGGCGGTCTCTGGCACCGGAACAGGAGTGCCCGGGGCCCCTCACTGCCGCCGCGTCTCCCGAGTGCCCGCTCTGGGGGCGCGGACGCCGCCGTCGGCACACACCAGTGCAGCCCAGGTGTGCGTGCGCCTCTCTGTCCGGCCCCACCGCCCAACCCCAGAGAACCCTCACCCCGCTTCGCTCTCTCCCTTAACCCACAGCAGTGAGATGCACGTGACACCCCCACCATCCTCGCCCACGGGGCACCCAGGGCGTAGGATAAGTATCTGTGAAACGGCCCTACCCTGGAGCGTTCTCTCAACCCACGGGGGTTGCACCTCCTGGCAGCTTTCGCCAGTTTGGCCCAAATAAACTCGTAACAACTCTCCACAGGTCCGGGTGTCCCTTACATCGACAATGTCACAAGCTGAGCCGGCAGTCACCCCGTCCCACGCCTGTGCAAAGCAGCCTGCCCCAGGTGGGAAGCTCCGCGTGGGGCCTGGGTGGGCCCCCACGGTGCAGACGAGGGCACCGAGGCACAGAGGGCTCCGCCCACCCCACTCTCACCCGAGGGTGAGGGGTAGCCCTGGGTGGGGCTGGAGCCCAGGCAGCTGGCTTCAGAGCCCACACTCCTTCCCACCCACACTGCCTGGGAAACTAGAAGAAAAAAGCACATTCATTTGGACAAGGTGCCTTGTTGCTGAAACGGTTCCCAGGAAATCTGGGGAAACAACACGGCCCCTAAGGTCCTGGAGATATTTCCACCCCTCTCTCTTTTCTCTGCCTTCGGAAGTGGATTTCTTTGTGTTTGTCATCATCGTGTGTGTAGTCCCTGCCGGTCGTGAACAGTTAGAGGGTGAACAACGCACCAAGAGGAAAGTCGAAAGGAGTGTCTTGACCCTTGTCCCGTCAGCTGGGTGTTCCTTCGGAGAGAGAGGGAAAAAGAGGAATGCACACGTGTGTGTGAGTGCGTGTGCATGCACGCCACGCCTGAAATATTTATGGACGGCGTCCGAGAGGCAACCGAATCACATGGGGGCTGTTACAAATGACCCTGATTAAAAAGTGGAATCTTGGCCACATGGCAAGCGGCGCTGGATTCGAACCCAGCTTTCTGAAATGCTCCACGTCAGCACGCACCCCCCACTCGGCATCCCCCCAAGCACATCTGCACCACGGCCCCTCTCACCGGGGCCCGGCCGGGGGGGAGGGGTGCGGGGGGGCGGCTGTGCAGCACGCCCGGGTGCGGTGAGGACGTGCAGTCAGAGAGGAGGGGGCCGACCCCGAGGGCCCCGCTGAGGCGGGGACAGGGTGGGAGGCAGCACTCTTCCCAGCTCCCCGAATCCAGCAGGGACCCCTCGTCTGGGCGTTCCTCCTCCGGTTTCCACGATTCCTCGGCCAACATCCCTCCACCCAGCGGAGAGGAGCAGCTCTCTCCCTCCCGAAGTCGAGAATGACCTATTTAAGTTTCTGGAAACGTGGGGCAGTTAGGAAACAAACAGGAGCCTCGCCCCGGCGACAGGACAGGAACCACCGGGCCCCGCCGCAGGCCACACGCGGCTGAGATGGGAGCGGGCGTGATTTTGTGTTCCGGGTCCCCCCTCAGCCCCCCAGAAAAGCACTGCAAGAGGTTAACTTAAACCCTCGGTCGCTGTTCCTCGGATTCCAAACTGCCCCAGGGCACGCCTTTGGTCGCGTGCAGGCATCGGGGAGCACGGGCACCCATCACCCGGGGACCTTCGTGCCCGCCACCCTGTGCCCCCTTCAGGTGACCGCCTTGGGGTCCCCGGAGGTTGCACGAGCAGGCCAAAGGTCGCCTGCGTGTTTCCAAGGGTCCGCACTCACGCCGCCGAACCGGCACCGCTCACCCCGCGGCCCCCAACCCAGAACGGCCCGCGTCCTGATAGCCGAGGGGCAGGTCGACGCCGGACGGTTCTAGAACTTCCTCCTCGCCTCGCCCCGCGGTTTTCACGAGAGGGTCTCGCACGCCGAGGCTGGACGTTTTCTTGCCGGCTGGCTAGCTCTGCGCCTTTGCTCTCCTGGGCCGCGGCAGGCCGGCTGCACCTGCACCCGAGGGCACGGGGGCTCCTGCGCACCCACCCTGAGAGGGGCTGCTGCCACCCCCACCGCCCACCCCCGCTCAGGGGCTGGGTCCCTGGGTGACCGGCCGAGGGCAGCGGGGACCCCTGCGAGGGTCCGTCTGCCACGTGGAGCGCGCAGAGCAGGGCCTCGCCCCCGGCGCCCCGGACCCCCGGGACGAGCTCCCGCCGGGTGGGGCCACGTCCAGCCTCTTCCGCACGAAGCACACGGCCCCCGCCACGTCTGCCTTTGGATCCAAGGTGACGTCTGGCTCCCCGACGTCGAAGCCGGTGCAGCGACAACTGACCGGGCTTCTCCTCGGGGGCCGTGGCGTCCAGCCTGCTCCCTGCCTTCCCCGCCGTCGGGGGGACTCGGGACACCCACCGGAGTGTCTCCTAACTTCTGGTCCGCCTCCGGTGGGACCGCCTCCGGTGGGACGCTCTCCTCCGTCTGGCCGTCCCTCTGGCGGAGAGTGGGGAAGAGAGGGTCCCCCGGCCCCCCGGGGCGGACCAGCTCACCCAGGCCCCTTTGCTGCGCCGTCTTCCCTTCCGCCCAGCCAGGAAGGTCACGCTTGTCGCTCGTGACATCCTGCACAGGTGTCCGTCCGCTTCTGCTCGCCCGGTGCCTCGGCCCCACAGGTGCGCGCCCGCTCCCGGGCCGACGCCCCGCCCCTCCCAGAGCCGGCCGGCACGTCCGTGGTCGGCAGACGCGCCTTCCCCACTCGCTGCCCCCACGGACACGTCAGGGGAGTTTCAGAGTTTGCCTAGACTGCCACGACTTCCACTGGGAATGCTCACTCGGGAGCGAGCGGGCCATCCCCGCCCACCACTAACACGAGCGTCGGCACTTGGTCCTCCGCCGGGGTCAGGTCGTCCCGACGGAGAGGGCACAACTTCCCACCCCGTGTTTCAAAGGGGACGGTCCCCGGTGAGCTGTCGAGTCCCAGAAGTCCCCTCCTCGCCAGGAACGAGGACCCCGGGCCCCCTGGAGACTCGTCTCTAGAAGACAGGCAACTCTCTAGAGGCCGCCACCCTGTCTGGGCAGCACCGCCCCGCTCACCCGACAGGAGCACGGGAGGCCCAGTAAAACCTGAGTTTCAGACAGACAACTGCTAACGTTTGGGGTGTAAGTGTACCCCACGTATGGCTCAGGACCCCCCTACACGTTTCTGTGGTGTACCCGAAGTCCGCCGGGCCCCCCACACTGTACCCGGAGGACTGCCCGGAACCTGAGGGGTCACAGGACAAGCCCCGGCACTGACAACGGCGCCTTGGCAACCGGCTCACCCCCTCATCCGTGAAATTCCTGGGTCAACAAAGAAACACACTTTCTAGAAGCTTCCAAAAAGAATTCTTGAGAAGCCAAGAAAAAGTGCAGCGATTCGAAAAACGGGGGCATTTATCACACAGTGGCCTCACGCCAAGGCAGCTGGGGGAAACTGAGTCTGGACCAGGACAACCACTCCCGGCGGCCCTGGGAGGCTGGGGCGAGCGCGTGCCCACCCTCTAGGGGCCGCCGGCCCCGGGCCGGGCGCAGGGTGCGGCAGCGGGGACCAGAGGGAAGCTGGTGACCGGTGACCGTGCTGGCCAGGCCTGCTCTCAGGGCCGGTGTGTGGTGCCGGGGGTTCCTGCTCGGGGCTCAGGGTTGGGGTCTTGGGGCCGGGAGGGCGGTGGTCTCGGCAGGCGGTGGGGACGGGAGGGAGGGGACGAAGGTGGCTGCCAGGGTGCTGCCTGCCTCAGGAGAAGGGACAGCCCCGAAGCCCCGTGACCGTCCCTTCACGGCTCAGCACCGGCCCCCGGACCTACGTGACTCGAGACCTGCTTTCCGAGGTCGGACTCGG